GTGGTTGTAGGATTAAGTTGTAAAAGAGTACATACATCACTAGTTGGCAGTGTTGTGTATATATTGTACATGAATTGTTGCCAGCTAATAAGTGCCAAATTGAACTTGCGTTTTAAAATTAGCTTCCACTAATTTTTCTATGACATAAGTGCTTTTGAGGATGCGGACCTAAATATTTTCATAAGTGCTTTAGAAATTGCGGAGCTAATTTTTTGATTAGTGCTGCCCACCACTGTTGTTATGTATATGAACTGTGTGTTGTTTTTGTTGGAGAACAAGCTGATGTGATGTGAACGACATGTTATACAAACATACTCTGAAACTTTCCATGTTGAACCTAATCTAGACGTCCACTGTCACTCTACAATGAGCTGAATCCTCACAGCAGCTTTTCTCTGAACATATTCTGATATTTAAATGAAATCTCAATCATCAGACGTGTCACAAAAACCTTTCTGTTTTACTCAAATCAAACTCTCAGACCTGAGAGTGGCTCCACGGTGAGCTGGGGCTCCTGAGAGTACACTTCATATCGGACCGATGGATAGATGTGAGACTGGACGAACTGAACTTCACCAACCGTGGCACAAAGCTGCCGCAGCATGTAGGACCCTGTCTGTCCACTCTGAGGAGAACACCAGAGGAACAGATGAGGACGACACAGCAAAGGATCAACCACAAACAAAAACCTAAATGCAGTGACGAGCATCTTACAGGTGCTGTGAAGACGATGCTGTTGTTTCCAGGCTCCAGCGTTACRTCCTGCACCTTCAGCATCTGCGCTCCTTCCTTCATAGCAACGGTGGGGGGGCTCACACAGTTKGGCGTCTCCGGTGGGGAGTTACTTTCATGGCGACGGATGAGCAGGTGAGTGTTTTTGCACACCACTCCTGTGGAGTTGAGAGCATTGTCCGAGGGGCTCCTGTCCTGGACCTCGTCCATGTCCAACACAGGGCGAGGAGCCACAGAGGAGGGGAGACCTGCWGCTGAGTGACCCAGGTTAAACTCTACTGTTCCACAGTTTGCATGTCTCTGAGCTGCCTTGGGCCTCCCAAGAGTCCCCCCGTGATCCACGTCAAAGTGGATGCTAGCAGCTAGCTGCTGTATGTGCACTGAAACGGGCATCAGAGACTTCAGAGTGAGCTCCACCTGCAGGGTGCCTCCGGAGTGCACCGAGGCCGWCGCAGGATGGAACTGGAGTCGAGTCAGCTGGGCGAAAACATTCATRCTCAGAGACACTTTGTGAGCTAGGGACACAGAGAATAAATGCTGTTAGGTGGAGGCTTTTGCWTTTGCAAAAACAAACAATACAGATTAAATCATCAGCAGCTGATTAGATGCAGAAAAGGTTTTAAGCCKKGTACACACCAAACGYGTTTGGAGYAGCCAAAGCAGCCAGTTTAAACGCAAAGTCTATGGTGGACGCACATCTACGAGCAGCGCAGCACGTAGCGGCACGTTTTGCCAGTTGAGAGCAGCGCGCAACATGTGGCAGAGCATTTTTCCGCACATGCGGCAGCTGCAAAGCAGCGGCTGCTAA